GGTGAGAGGAGCGGGCCGGGGCCGGGGCCGGGGGAAAAGAAGAAGGGAAGCGAGGAGAAGGCAGCGGTTTGCGCTATCGCCTTCTCCCTCCGTCCCGGGGAGGGGGGGGAGGCTTTCGTGTGCTTCACGGGAGACTTCTTGCCTCGTTCCCTCAGGGCTAAAAAAACCCCCAACATTCATAAATTTAGTGTTTTGTGGTGTATTTTATTTTTATTTTATTTTTTGGGGGGGTTGCTTTTTCTCCATCGACTGTTAACTTGTTGTGTTGAAGCTCTTTGCTTTGTGTCCTGAAAGGATCGAGGTTTCAGAAGTTTGTTCTTTTTACCCTGTAAATGTTAGAAACCTGGGAAATGCGAGGTGCAAATGCAATGCCTACCTGTGTTTGGTGAGCTTCCCACCTAAAAAAAATAAATAAATGACAGTGGCAGGCAAAAAAATCGATATAATCTTCTAAGTAGGAAGTATTTTATTGGTGATCAGAAGTCTTGTGGTGTTCTTGCAAGCAGGAGGCCAGCTGTGAGCATAACCTGGTCGTATGAGCCATGAGCAGAGCTGGTCAGTGCACTGAATGTGGTCACTTCTTGGAGCTTGGTAGGAACCCCTTCTGCAAGGCCTTGAGACACTGAATGAGGACCTGTGCTTACATTTCTTTTTAGGGAATAAGGCGGGGCTCGTTGTTTAGTAGTTTGAAAGTGACATCTACTGTAACTAGGGATGAAGAATAAATGCACATGGTGACTGCAGTGAAGCAGCAGAGAACTTTGGACTGAACTTGTTAATACTTTCACTTCAGCCATGATGGATGCAGTATGGTGACTAGAAGGCTGCATCCTCTCAGCTCCCAAAGTTCAGAGACTGCTTTAGTTTTTGGAGTGGAATTTGCTGGATATTATGGATTTCTTTTTTTATTTATTTATTATTTTCCAGTGGTGTTTTGGCACAGAAATGGGGCTGTAGGTGAGGGAAGATGAGAGATATGAGAGGGGTAGCATCCCTGGCTGTAGTTTGGACACTTCTGTAGCCATCTGAAAGTTGAAGAAATGTCTGAAGATGGGAAATAGTTCTTTCCAGAAAAACTTTTTCTTTTCTGGTCGGTATAACAGTTTGAAGTAACACTGATGGAAGTAGAGAGCAAAAGGGCAGTGGTGTAACAGGAAGAGAAAATGACATGAATGTGTGTGCAAAACACTTGCTGGTGGATAAAGTGGGCGCTGGGGATAGAAATCAAGGGCAACTTGAATGTCTGAGAAAAAGAGGAATATTGTGTGAAATATTAGAAAGTGAGAAGAATGGAATTTTTAAAGAGCTTTTAAAAGAGTAAATGAAAAAGCTAGAAGGATCCTGATATCTCATAGAAAAACAGAATGTTTCTTTCTCCCCTGTGCACTCCGCAGTGTAAGCAGGAAGCTTCTTGGTTGGTGTCTCGAATAATGATCTGGTTGATTAGTTTGAAGTAGGCATCTAGTGAAGTAGTAGTAAATAGGTACTTAAATAGTAACACTTAAAGTGGGTCTGAGATTGTAGTAGTATTTGAGAACCTCACAAGTATTTGAGGTTCTTGAGGCAGCAACCTGCTGATGCAGAGAGGAGAAACAAGCATACTCAACCTGCTGGTGATCTGAAACAATGTTGTCTTTTCCAGGTCTCTCCCTGTTTTTCAGTTTATTTTTTTTTGAGGTGGAAGGAAGAAAATAAAAATGGGGCGGAGATCGACATCATCCACCAAGAGTGGGAAGTTTATGAATCCCACAGATCAAGCCCGTAAGTATTAATAAAAGCTAAGCAGATGGGAATAGGGGAGGGGTCCTAGGGAAGCAGTGAAAAGCTTTATCTGAAAATGAGATCCTCACTGATGAACCACAACAGTTTCCCTACCTTGAAAAATACTATCTTGGTTTTGGCTGGTGTAAAAACTTCCTGAGAAGGCTGCTTGCTTGTGTGCTGTGGCTTCTCTGAGTATTTGTCTCTTTAGATTTTACTTTAGTTATTGGTGCTAGAAGGTCTTTTTACTTAGTCGTTGTCTAAACTGCCAACCTGCTTCTTGAGATATAATTCATCTGTATGAGGGTGGAATTTGAGGAACACATTAAATTTTCCAAGAGGTCTGATCAGAGGAAGGAGTTGCCTGTTTTTTCCTTTTGATAACATGCCAGGTGTTATCAATACTAAACAGATAAAGAAAGTCCAGAATTCATCAGTCAATATGATTTCTTTCAGATGCATTGTCTCTTGTTGGCTCTTTTAGAGCTTCTGGGCTGCAGTCCTTTCATGACTGCACACGTCACTACGACTTTTGCTGCTTGCTGTTCTGTAGAGAAACAGCCTTGCTCCTGGAGGCAGGAAGGTGGCTTTATCTTCTGTACAGCACACAAGATAGAAATCTATTTCATGGTGTGTTTCTCTGTTACTGGGAAGATGAGTTTAAAAGTTACAGTGTCTGTAAAGTGAGTGAAATTTAGAAACAGTACTAATCCTGATGAAGGAAAGGTTCTTCGTGGATTTGGTTGTCTCTTTCAAGTTCTTATTTTCTCTTTCTTCCTCCTCTCCAGGAAAGGAAGCTCGGAAAAGGGAACTAAAGAAGGTAAATGTAGAGATCAGAAACATTTACTTGGCATTCTCTGTCCTACTTGCCATGTTTGTGATCAGATGGTACATCCTAAGATTGACTTTGGAAACAGTTATCCAAACAAATAGTTTTAAGAAAACATACAGAAATCTTGTTTTGACTAACCGTATCTCATAATCTGCTATTTTTAAACGTGTGATTATTACAGGTTTTTGAAACATTATTGTAAGTGCTTGGGAATTGAGGAAAAAACAGAAAACCAAATAGACCACCTGACTCACATACTTCTTAGTGCATTTTACTGTATACCTTTTGTCAGTTGGTTGTCTTCTTGATTGCATATGTCTTAATTGAAGTGAATGATTATAGAAGAATTTGTAAAGAGCAAGATAGTGGAACTAGAATTCCTGGAAGCTTTAATTACCTTTGCTTCTGATTTGTGCCATGGCTGATATTTGCAGGGCATTTTTAAGTGCCTTTTTTTTTCCCAGCAGACTGGGAATATTGAGAGGGGAATAACTGGTACAAACGTTCTGTCTTTTTCTCCTGTGACACTTTTATGATGTGCTTGATCTCTGATTTTTAGAACAAAAAGCAACGGATGATGGTACGAGCAGCTGTACTAAAGATGAAAGATCCAAAGCAGATTATCCGGGACATGGAAAAATTGGATGAGATGGGTGAGTGAGAGGCACTGGGTACTTAGGTGGTGGATTATGTAGACGCATAACATAGTTTTAAGGGACAACTGGAGATTAAAATAGAGTAACCTTTCTTTCTTTTGTGTTAGAAGGAGAGATTCCGTTAATAATTGGGTATTGATGATTATTTGAGGTGATGTGCCATCAAAGCTAACTTTTTTGGTGGGGGGAAGATGGGTGATAAAAAGAACAAGTAGTGTTTGTGATAGTAACTTCAAGTTGAGGGAGGGGATTGCCATAAAGCTAAAGACTTCCTGAAAATGGGGATTGGAAATTGCTTGCTTTGAAGTTGTTTCATTTGTCACAGTTGTGGAGTAGAGTAACTTAAGAATTTTTGGGTTTTTTTGCTGTCTTGGATTAGAGTTTAACCCAGTCCAGCAGCCACAACTTAATGAAAAGGTGCTAAAGGACAAACGCAAAAAGCTCCGTGAGACTTTTGAGCGCATCTTGCGGCTTTATGAGAAGGAGAATCCTGACATCTATAAAGAGCTACGCAAGTTGGAAGTGGAGTATGAGCAGAAGAGATCACAACTCAGCCAGTATTTTGATGCTGTCAAGGTAATGCTTATTGTATTTCAGGCTGGTAGCTGTGGTGGTGTCTGTTATTTGTCTGCTCATTAGGTGTGACAGTTAAGAAGGAAGAGAACTGTTTTTCAGAGACCAGTGTTTATGTTATGTGACCCATGCTAAGTACTTACAATAATTTGGATAGTATGTCAGTTACAGCATTTAACTGAGGGTGGCCTCAAGTTGCAGGTTGTCAAGTCTGTATTTGTCTCTGATATACTGATTGAATTCAACAAGAAATTACAGGGGGAGGGGAAATGTATATTGCAAATCAACAATACCAGAATTGTTTTCTGTATTAGAAAGACCAAATTTGTCAAGGTGCTGTTGATATTTCTGTAAATTTCTACTGAATCTGTTACTGAAAATAATGAAAATCCTTTGGCATTCCTTTAAAGACCTTGCTTTGACATTCTTCCCAACTATACTGGAGAACATACGTTGCCCCAGTGCAAATATCTGTAAGATTATTTTTTTTTCCTTTGGAATATTCAACAGCTTGTGATTTGTGCCTTCTGGACACTGAAGGAAAAAAAGGTACAGGCATACTTGTCTGCAGCCTATTTCCTTTGGGGACTGAAGGTCTAAAGGGGGTTGGCAATCTGACTGGATTTGACTGAAATACTAAAGCCTTTTGTGAGTGCACTGCATGTGCTTTGTTGTGCATTGAAAGCTTTTTCTGTTGACTTTTTACCTGATGTCTTTTCATGGACAGCTGCAAGATAGCATGCACTTGGAACATCTTTGGCACGTGATGACAGGTCCCATGTGTTGTGTACTCTGAAAGGTAACAAGTTTGTGCAATGGCTTCTGTGAGAGTAACCCACTCTGTCCTTTTTCTGTTTCCCCAGAATGCTCAGCATGTTGAAGTGGAAAGTATCCCCTTGCCAGATATGCCACATGCTCCTTCCAACATCCTTATACAGGACATTCCCCTTCCAGGGGCTCAACCACCTTCTATCCTCAAGAAGACATCAGCCTATGGGTAAGTGGAAAAAGAAAATTAAAGGAGAAGTAAAAAAGGAACACTCTTCCATCTAAGGAGGAGCTAAGGGTAGAAATGGAGGCAATATTGAGTGGCAGAAATCAGGAATTCTGTGCAACAGAATTGTACTTTCTTTTAATCAAAGCCCTTTTTAATCTTTCCTTACTATTACAGTTTTTTGTTTAAATTGCCTCATCATTGTCTTGTAGTGTTTGCCTTTCTACATATCAATAAAACTTAAAACCCTACCACTTTGAGCATGAATTGCCATATATGTGTCATTTGTCTTGCTGGTATATTCAGTTTAAGCTCCTAGTTTACTTGATTATCAGATTTCTCATTCTAGTACTTTTTTTTTTTTCTGAACAGCCTTCTCCTTTCACCAACTTTGTGGTTATTTCATTCTGCTTCTGTGGTGGGATGAAATCCTTGCTTTTGTGTGTTTGTCTTCAGTTGCCTTCTGAGAAGCTCATTTTTGTCTGATCTTCAGCAATTGTCTTTTTATGAGGTTGTAAGCTCCTTGGGACAAAAACAAATACTTTACAAATGTTCATGTTTCATTTTAGATGGCTACTGTGTGTGCCATGATGAGAGAAGGCTAAATCATTCTCTTAAGTGCATGTTTGCTTTCACTTACTTTGTGTGCCTACATTTTTAATTTCCTGTCTTATTTCCAGACCACCAGTTCGGTCCATTTCTGTACTTCCACCTCCTGGGCTTGGTGTTCCACGTTTGCCTCCAGGCAGGAAGCCCCCTGGACCTCCCCCAGGGCCACCCCCACCTCAAGTTCTACAAATGTATGGCCGTAAAGTGGGTTTCTCCTTGGACATGGCTCCTCGAAGGCGAGAAGAGGAGATTTCTTACAGTTCTGAAGCAGGTGAGGACTTAACTGTTTCTGAGTTGTTCTTTGACCTCTTTGTTTTGCTGCAGATGGTACTGCTGTGAATGTATTGTGCTCTAGACAAGGTGTTCTCAGGGCAAGATGGGTGTTAATACTACTTGAAGACTGTTCTTAAGTGATTGCATCTCTGAGGTGATTCTGGTATATTTCATAGTATCTGCAGTTTTGTTATCTATATTTTTGAATGTTGAAACTTCCAATTACAACTTTCAGATTTATTTTGTTTTTGCATTAGGTTGCACAGATTGACTGTTTTCCCATGTGGTCATAACAATGCTGAAACATTTTTATTTTATCCTTTAAAAAACCCCAGCTATAACACACCAGAGGGTTGTGTTGCCTTTCAGTGAGACCTAGACAGGCTGTAAAGTTGCGCGGGGAGAAACTTAGTAAAATACAAAAAGGGAAAACGTAGAGTCTTCCATCTGGGAAAGAGCAACCCTGTGTCCCAGAATAGGTTGGGGACTGACCTGTTGGATAGCAGCAGAGGGGAAAGAGACCTGGGGGTCCTGGTGGACAGGAGGATGACCATGAGCCCAGCAATGTGCCCTTGTGGCCAAGAAGGCCAGTGGCATCTTGGGGTGTACTAGAAAGGGTGTGGTTAGTAGGTCGAGAGAGGTTCTGCCCCTCTCCTCTATTTGACTTGGTGAGGCCACATCTGGAATCTTGTGTCCAGTTCTGGGCCCCTCAATTCAAGAAGGACAGGGAACTGCTTGAAAGGGTCCAGCACAGAGCCACAAAGATGATGAAGGGAGTGGAACATCTCCCTTATGAGGAAAGGCTGAGGGAGCTGGGTCTCTTTAGCTTGGAGAAGAGGAGACTGAGGAGTGACCTCATCAACATTTATAACGATATAAAAGGTGAGTGTCAGGAGGACAGAGCCAGGTTCTTCTCAGTGATGTCCAGTGATAGGACAAGGGGCAAAGGGCGCAAGCTTGAGCATAGGAGGTTCCACATAAAGGTGAGAAAAAGCTTCTTTACTGTGAGGGTGACAAAATCCTGGAACAGGCTGCCCAGAGAGGTTGTGGAGATGTGCTCTAGGTGACCCTGCTCTGGCAGGGAGCTTGGACTGGAAGATCTTTCGAGGTCCCTTCTAACCCCTTAGATTGTGTGCTTCTGTGTTTCTCAGAGAAGTCTGACTTTAAAAAAAAACCTAAAAGAAAACAAGGAAAAAAACCCCCAAAAACCCAAACCCTAGAAAACAAAACCAACCCATCCCAGACCAAAACAACAACAGAAACCCCAGCAAACCCAGGGTTTTCATTTGCAGTGAGAACTTGGGTCCTCCTTTTCACAGTTACTGTATCATTCCTGTAATTTTTTGTGAATGGGTAGATCAACTTAATTGCATGTCAGAAAGCATGAAGGTATTTTAATGATGGGTGATTAATAAATAAAAGCTAACTAATGAGCTGCAGGTAGGAGTTGCCTTCACTTGTTTGTTGTGCAAATTAACCGGCTGGTTAGCAGGAAATCTTACGAATAGACTCCAAAATACTGTTTAGGAATATGTGCTAAACAGTAAAAGGTTGACAGTATTTCCAGGCTATAGCTAGAGGGATTATTCTGACTGTACACATAGACTGGTATGAAAGACAGAATATTTTGTATGTGGAGTTCATGCATTTCCTAATACTTCTTTTCCTGCAGGACAGCGTGGGCATGATGACGATATGTCCAGTACCAGCGAAGATGAAGGTTATCCTGAGGATATGGATCAAGACAAGCATGATGAGAGTAGTGATGACAGTGACAGTGATAGGTCAGATGCAGACAGTGAAGGAGAAGACTTCGCGCATCGTGATAATGACAAGGAAAGGGAAGGTGGTGAAGAAAAGAAATCAGGTATGATGGGAAGTTATGGACTGGGGTTTGTTTTTTCAAAAGAGAAACACTACTTAAAAGAATTTGTGTCTGTTTTCCTGAGTGAAGGGGAAAGTAATTTGTGTAGCCAGCTAACTCTGTCACCTTAATTTCAGCCGAAGAATTCCAAATAGCAGAAGAAAGCTATTTGGAAGTGAAACATTTTTTCAGATTTTCTCAACAGATTGGATTGGCAAGGTACCCTACAAAAATTAAGCCTCACTGTAAAATACACTGACTCTTCAGTGACTCAAACAACTACAAAACCTAAATTTCCTACTGCTAATGCTTTTAGATTATTTTTTTAAATTAATTTCTTGGGGGAGACCAATTAATAGAGAATACTAGGCTAGCAAAATTTCAAATAGTCAGTAACAGCAATGCTAACTCTTATGTAAGGAGAATCATTGTTAGAATGATATGTTGTCCATACCAGGTAGAAGACCTAAATCTATCTGATTTTTATTTTCTTCCCACCTTCTGCCACCCTTGTCCATGCTTTCCTTTCCCCAGGTCATAGTGTACGGTTTGCAGACATGCCTGGGAAGTCACGGAAAAAGAAAAAGAACATGAAAGAACTGACTCCACTCCAGGCCATGATGTTACGAATGGCAGGTGAGCGAGATGGATGTGTTAAGTGGAGATATGCCACTGGGCTTCCAGTTATGCTTTCTGTAATAAGCTTACTTTGTTTGCACAGCTTCTATTTTATAGAGTAAATATTTTACTGTCATAATGTAAGATCTGCTAAGAATATAAGTTGTAGTTAGGTATCTGTTGGGGTTTTAAAAAATAATTTTTAGTCTACTAGTATTGTGTGTTTTGCATAGCAGAGTTGGGAGTTACAGTAGCAACTTTATATATTTTTTTTAATGTATTGGAAAATCTTTCTTCTAGATTTTATCTTGCTTAACTTTAAAACAATTGATCAAACAAAATATGAGCTCATAGACAATCTCACATTTTCTTTTTCACTGTGGGCTCGTCCTGTAACCTGTAAGGATTTGCACTCCCTAAAAATATCCTTTTGCAGGAATAAGTTAACCAAAATAGTGAAGTTTTATTTTGTTTGTTTTAGAAAGATGCCCAGTATCTTTCAAAGTGCTGGGGTTTCTTGACCCCGGGGGATTATGTTTGTTTTGAGGTTGTGTCCCCATCCCCTGTTCTGCCCTCACCTTCTGCAAACTCCCACAAACCTTTGATCAAATAGTTGCAGTTCAGGTCAATAGAAGTTTCAGCTCCCACAGGAACACATAGAACTTGGTGGCAGAGCTGTGTCTAGAGCTGTGATTTTTGTACTTTTTTAATTTTAATTTTCTATTTAATAATTAATTGTCATGTCTTGTGTGGTGTTTTTTTTTCCTTTGAGGTAAGATTTCTCTTTATTTTGTGTGCTAAGGTTTCTCTGATGTTCACAAAGATACTACCTGTGGACTGATTCTATAAATGTCTCCGTTTCTAGGTCAGGAAATTCCAGAAGAAGGAAGAGAAGTAGAAGAGTATTCGGAAGAAGAGGAGGAGGAGGAAGAAGACTCAGAGTCTGAAGAGACATCACAACAACAACAGCAACAACAACTCAGTGAGGAAACTATTGCAGAGACTGGATCATCTACTGCAGCTTCCCAGACACAACAGCAGCAACAGGCTCAGCAGTCTGCTCCTCCGACTCAGATACAGGCACCTCCTATGCCTGGGCCACCTCCACTAGGACCACCTCCAGCCCCTCCACTGAGGCCCCCAGGCCCACCCACTGGCCTTCCTCCTGGCCCTCCACCAGGTGAATGCTTGATTTACTCTGGTTTGAAGGATGCAGGCTCTCTGTGCTACAGGCAGCGTATCTGTTTAGGAGTTTAGAAGCTGCTGAATGTCTTGCAGATGAAGTACAGGAGCCCAGTGTGGTAGTTGCTGAGGTCTGTGATCTCTTCTGTGGTCAATCTGTTGTTGCTGTGCTTTTGAGGTATCAGGCTCCTGATGGCCTGATGGGCATTGCCTTGTTCATTAGTACCAAGGCTTGTTCTTAGCACCAACAGAGGTAGGCAGCCAAGGAGCCAGTGTTGTATGAAGAACAAGGTCTGATGCCATGTGCTTCTCCAGTGGGTTTGGTGGTTTTTCTGTCTTTCCCCTCATGCTTTACCCTGAACAAGACATGCTAAACAGGCTTGGGAGCTACCACCCAGGCTTTGATGGTTTTTTAGGTGTATTTTTTTTAATGAGCTGTGGTGGTGAAGGCTTATGCTGATTCTGTGGCAGATCAATAACTTTTTATTCATAGTGTATGGCGTCTATGAAGCACCTGAGGTTTATTTAGAGGAAAACAGCAGTGTTTCTGTAACTTAGTAGGTTTACCATGTAGCTGAATGGGACCACAGTAATGAGCTGTTTTCTAATTTGAACAAGTGTATAAATCTGTCTCTTGAGTTTTTATACTTACACTGTGAAGATCAATAGCTGGCTATAGTGAGGAGCAGTACATACTATGTTTTAATGAATTTTATTCTAGATAGGTACGTTAACAATGTGGTTCTTTTTTTTTTTTTTTTTTTTTTTTTTTCCGAAAGTTACGGTAAAAATGTGGTTTTTTTTTTTTTTTTTTTTTTTTTTTTTTCCCAGGGAATCGAGGGAAAGCAAAGATCTTTCCAGTGTCTTCTCTACGGATTTATTTTTTTTGTGATAACTCAGGCCAGAGGGCAATCAAATGCCAGATTCTTTCACTTTTAACTGTTTAAATTCTTAACAACCTCAGCTCAGTAGCCATTGTCTGCTATTGTTTCATTACATGTGAGAGAAGATACTTGACTATTATGAATAAACTTTCATCTAAGCCTAAAATCTGCTGTCTTTTTGAGATTTATTTATTTTTTTTTAGAAGATCTGTTTAATGGCAGCTGGCTAGCTTTAGAATTGCTTTCAAGTTCCTGTTGAGGATTTTTAGTATTAGCTGATGGGATAGTTTTGGGTTTTCTTAACCAGGAACTAAATTTCTCTTGATTTATGTATGTGCTTTCAGGAGCTCCTCCGTTCCTGAGACCTCCTGGCTTACCAGGAATGCGTGGGCCTTTACCTCGACTTCTACCACCAGGCCCACCACCTGGGCGTCCACCTGGCCCTCCTCCAGGCCCTCCACCAGGTCTGCCCCCAGGTCCTCCTCCACGTGGACCTCCTCCTCGCCTGCCTCCTCCTGCCCCACCAGGTAAAGTATTCTGTTTGCTCAGAGCCAAGTCTCTCCCTGTTTTATTTTCCCAGTTTTTGCTGTGGTGACCAAGCCAGGAAGCATAAGCGGTTACCTGTTCGGCTTTGTTCCTGTCTGGATTGTGCTAGATCTTTTTCTATGCAATAACAAGTAATTTTCTACTGCTGTGTGCAGTTTATTAGCAAGAAATCTGTCCTCAAAAAGGAAATTTCAGAGTTTAAACTTCTGCTGGACTGTTTTTAAATAACCCCACGGTGTTGTAATGTTGCTGCACTTAATGAGTTGAAGATGGGGATTTTTCTTCTCTGCATGGTCATAAAAGTCTGACTCTGAAATTCCAATCAATGGATCATCAAGAAACGTTAGTTTCAGATGATAACTTTAAAATTTGAAAGGGAGCAATACACAGACTGCTGTAGTTTTCAAAATCTGACGTTCAGCACCATTTTCAACTTGGTATTTGGTGCAGGGTGCTAAACGATTCATTTTTATTTTTATTTTTTTTTTTTGGAGCTAGTGCTACTACATCTTGTTTGTTTTTTTTTTTTTTGGGTGTGTGTTGTTTTTTTTGTTTGATTTTTCCTTCTTGGCTTTTTGAGTCTGTGCACTTTTTTGACCAAAGACTTTAAGACTCCCAGGTGTGGAGTCAGCTCATGCCTTCTTCTTACAGGTATCCCTCCTCCTCGCCCAGGCATGTTACGGCCACCTCTGGTGCCTCCGTTAGGACCTGCCCCACCTGGCCTCTTCCCACCAACCCCCATTCCAAACCCCGGGGTCCTAAGTGCTCCCCCCAGCTTGATCCAGCGCCCCAAGGCGGATGACACCAGCGCAGCCACCATTGAGAAGAAGGCTACAGCCACCATCAGTGCCAAGCCGCAGATCACTAACCCCAAGGCAGAGATCACTCGCTTTGTGCCCACGGCCCTGCGAGTGCGCCGGGAGAATAAAGGGGCTTCTGCTGCCTCCCAGAGAAAACAGGATGATGAGCCTGCTCTCCCATTAACCAAAGCTGCCCCTAAGGCTGGATCGTCTGCCCCTATCTCTGTACAGACAAAGGATGATGTGTATGAAGCCTTCATGAAGGAAATGGAAGGTCTCCTGTGATGTTATGGTCGTAGCCAGCTTTCTGCCCCTCTGGATGCAGATCAGACCACTGTGGAGGGAGGAGAAGGAACGGTCTTCCTGCAAGCAAGGGAAGGGCTCATGTGACAGGGAATAGTTCCCTACCCACAGGTTAACTTGCCAGTATGCTCTGAATAGAGACCTGCTGCAGATGAAGGGTGGCTGGGGACCCCCTTTCTGAGCTGGCATGTCCACTTGGTGGAAGGAAATTACAGTCAAGAAGGCGATGCTATGTCCCTGGAGTCCTTCCTCTTCCTTGAAGGGAGATAACGGTACTCTGGGGAGGCAGGTGTGGGAATGGGGGGTGGCTATGCTCTGCTTGAATACTTGCACATCCTGAATGATCTGGCAAGGGTAGTGGAACAAGTTTTTAAGGAGAAAACTGTTAGCAGCATTTCATATGCATATGGTTGTCTGGTTTTTATTTTCTGTACTGTTCCTTTCTGTAAATATTTTATAATCCTGTTTTTTTAGTTGCAGTGGGATTGATCCAGTCATCTTCCAGGATAGTCAGGGAGGTAATTTGTTGCGTATAATGTACACTGGAATTTTGCATCCCGTCCCCTTGACAGTCATCTTGATGGCTTTTCATCAACAGGGGAAACTTCATTTTGTCTTGTGAAAGACAATAAATGTTCAGTGTATCAAAATACTGGTTTCCTTGTGATTTGTTTAAAAGTAACATGTAAGATGGAAAGGGGGGAGGTTCTTTGGACTTTTTGGAAGATGAAGGCATTCTGAACCTCAGAAAAGAAACATAACAGCTGCATGATAATTAGTACATACTTTTTTAAAAACTAAAATTCTCCTATATTCTTGTTAAGGTTCTAGGCATCCCTTTTGGCCTTTTGTTGCTAGTAGAAACTGAAGTGTACTATGAATAACTAAAAAATTATTTATTTTATATGCTCTTACTGAAAGGTTTATTTCAAATCAAGCCTCATATATCCACTAATTGCATCTTGGACAGAGTAACATAAAAATTGGTGAACAATTTTAATTGTAAGAGCTTCACTGATAATTTTACTTATAGAATTTGCAATCAGATTTCCTTTGAAGTGAGTGATTTTTAACCTGGAGATATTTTTAAAGAAGGACTTTCATATTTCCAGCTTTAAAAACATTCTATTTTGTCAGAAGTTTTCCTTTAGCTTCAGTGACTATGGTGACTGAGCCAAATATTCTAATAACCCTTACCAAGTGCAAGAAACAAATTATATTCTCATTTGAAAGAGACTGCAAAGTCTTCTGGGTTCTTGTGGACAAACCGGTTTTAGGAACAGTAGGATTGTCTGTGTGAGCACTAAGGCTTTCCAAAACAAGCTGCTTCTTCGGAGAGCTAACTGCATTTTTGAAATATTTAAGTTTTGTCTGGAACACCAAAATAGAGCACAAGATTAATATTAGTAGTTCACTATTTATTTAGGTATCTTCATCCTGTTAAAAATAAAAGTGAGCTAGTGATGATAGAGTATGATAGAGCATAAAAGAAATTGAGAAATCTTAATTTTCCCTGTTGAAGGAATTGTAGTGAGTATCTTAGTAATGTTAAGAGTGGCTTCTCTAACGATCCATGAATTTCTGTGTGAGTATCTTCAGACTAGGTAGGACTCTAGATTTTTAATAAAGATAGTTTATTTTAAGCTGCCAGAGGTATCTCAAACAATACCTTTAGTTGGCTGTAAGTCTCAGACTTGGCTGAATATTCGACATTTAAAGGTTAAATCTGTTTTAAGGAGACAATACTAATTACCAAAATGTATATTTGAGAATTTTATTCTGTTTTCACAAATTCTGGACACACCAAAAAATAGGCTTGTACAACAATTCTTATTTCAGAAGTCAGTTGCAGTTGTGTCAGCATCTTAAAATTTTTTCTGGTTGTCATTATTGTGTATCTTCTTTAGCTTTTAAAAAATGCATTTTTATCTTTATTCTTTAAGTGAAATTATTATTGGGGAAAGTGGAGTCATTGAGATACCTCTGACCCTGGGTTTAAAAATAGTATTGACCCTGCCAGGAAACAGCCTGAGGAGAAGAGGAATATATTCTGGGTTAAGAACCTCCCTCCCCATCACATTCAAGGTGGAGAAATTTTCCCTGATAGTCCCTGTGATTACTTTAGTCGCCTGCAGGAGTCGCTTGTTTCATTCTGCTCTTCCACTTAAGTCTGATTTTTTTTTTTTATTTCTCGTGGGTTTTTTTTTGGTTTTTTTTTTAAATGTTGCATTTGCTGTATTCTCACGGAGGTGAGCTGTCTTTTCTTCTGTTGGGATGGAGTGAGTACTTGTCAGTTGCTGTATGTATCCTCTTCAGCCTGAAGCAAAAGGATTTTAATTGCTAGATACTTAAATGGGCCCAAAAAGGGACATTTTGGGCACAAGGAATGCACAAATTATCACAGAGTGGTCGTCTTCACCCTGCTTTGGGTTGAAAGGTGAGGCATGTGATAAAAGGAGGCAGGTAGTTTCCTACAGCTGATAGACATCTAAGGTGGATTGAAGAAGGGGAGTGTGGAGAAAAAAGAAGAGAGAAGTGGGGGTAGGGTGGAAACGTGTTCCTGAAATGGGCTTTGAGGTGAGATGGAAGAGCTGGATTTGACAATGAGAATCATCTGGGAGCTGCTAATTTTTTTTTCTGGGGCAAGTGCAAGGCCAGGATGCCTACTGCCTTGTGTAGCTCTTGCACAGGAGGCTTTTGGCATTTTGTGGTTTAGATTTTTGGATAAACACAAAGTTGGGAACTGCTTGGCTAGCTGGGGCTCTGTGTAGAAATTGGCTGTGTTTGGGGCTGATATTTCATCTGATTAACCAGAACTATGGTTTGTCTTTGGCTAAATAAATGTGGAGGATTCCTTTCCTTTCTTTCCTTAAACACAGTTCTAAGTGGAAAGAGCACAAAGATACCAGCTTTTCCTGTCACTTTTATCAAAGCAATGGGAACTGTGAATGCCCTGACTTCAGTCCATGCTGTCCAGTTATAATCTGGTTCGTCATCAGCTACAAATTATGGACAATGGACGAAACAGGAAATCCAGCTTTGAGAACTGCTGACAGCCTTTTCTCTCCCAGCATTGTGAATGATTGTAAAGCCATTCCACGACACTTGAATCAGATATATTAATGTTTTCCCTTCATCCTTGTTACCTTTGATCTCTAGGAATGACTCTGAGTGAGTGGAATCCTTAAAAAGAATGGATCAATGAAATTTTGCTTCAGCTGAACATCCATCAAATTACATAAGGTTTTGTGCTTATACTTCTATCAAGAAAAAACATGAAAACGGTCTCTAGTAACTGTACTGTGCGTTGGTACCCTGACACCAGTCAAAAACTGTTGAATTAAGAGTGTGTGAAATAGATATACAGGGATATACCATACTGTTAATTTATTTACTGAGGGAGAGTTGAATCAATGTTTATGTTGTCTTTGGGATTTTTTGTTTGGTTGGATTTTTTTGTTTGTTTTTGGTGTTTTTTTTTTGAGCTATCATAGATGGCCTGATGGGAGTTGTATCTTTGTCTTGCTCTGAAATAAAACAATTCTAGTATCCAGGGTAAACAGCATAGTCTGGTACCAACACTATTCACTTCATTGCAATTTAATGATATATATGTTGCAGGATCTGGGATGCATTATAAAGAACAACAACAAGTTAGAGTACAAAAGCATCAAGGGATGAGGATGGGTACAAAAGATCACTCTGAATTGGAATTTATGGAAATTGAGAGTAGAATCTCATGGTGTGGGGAAAATAGAGGAAGAGCCTGCTGTGCAACAGTGGGGTAGCAGAAGGATGTGACCAAGCCCAGGATGCAGGCTCCTCAGATTTAGACAGAGATATTGTCTGCCCTTGCTAGAAGCATGGAAGAAGGAGAAAACAAGTCATGGAATAAAGACAAACTTTAAATGATTAGAGCAAAGGAGGAAAGATTAACAGTAATCTCTGTCCACAAGAAAAGGCCAGACCATACCAGAAAAAAATCTCCAATCTTGATGAATTCAGTTCAGCCTATTGGTGCAGCAAGGTGTTCTCCACTTTGAGTAAAAGTGTGACAGCCTGCCTTCTGCTGCTCTGCATAATACCATATTAACTTGATGACAGGAACAGCTGGGAGCTTTGACTCCAGAATTGGAGACGTTTCCTGTGTTACATGTGCCTGCCTAGGTTCTCCCTCTCTCAGTAGGGCTAGGTTGCAAATGGATAAAAAGTTTTTTAAAACTAACCCCATGGCAGCGTTTCTGCTGCTCTAAGCACAGGCCGACAGCTAAACTGGCAGCGATGGCACCAGCAGACGCTGCCCCTGTTCCGGCTACGCACCTCTGTTCTCAGGCAGGCGGGGACACGTCGCCCAGGAAGGTCTTTCCGGAGCGCCCACAGGGCTGAGGAGCCCGCAGACGAGGCGGGAGGGGCGGGGGACGTGGCCCCGCCCCGGGGGG